ATTCCCGTGGTGGGCAAATTACAGATAGCCCATTGTGTAGTGCAACTCGGTATTGTTTCATTGGAATATATAGAATGTTTATTCGTCACGGTGTATAAACATTTTGCATAAGCTGTCTTGTTTACAGATTGGCACAGCGGTATGTATGCGGGCTTACAGCGCTGGAAATAGGGTTTTGATTCCCGTGGTGGGCAAATTACAGATAGCCCATTGTGTAGTGCAACTCGGTATTGTTTAATTGGAATGAAGTAGGGGCATATATAGAATGTTTATTCGTCACAGTGTATAAACATTTTACAGGTTTGGTTGTTACAGAACTTTTCCACTGCTTCATATTCTTGTGTTTTCATGAATGACAACAGTTGGATGAATGCCTCAACTTTCAAACTACTTTATTACAGGATATACGCTGACTTCACTTCTGTAATTTTCAAATCAAAAAAGCTTTTCTTTCCTGAAGCTCGTTTTATACCAAATCTGTCGATATTAAATTCACTGTAGAACATCAATCTGAATCAGCTTGTTTGTTTGAAGTTAAGCACAAAGCTACACAATGGGTTATCTGTGCTCTGCCAACCACGGGTATCGAAACCCGGTTTCTAGCGTTGTAAGTCCACAGACATACCGCTGTGCCACTGGGTGGCCTGAATCAGCTACATATTCTAGTTGTTTACAACAATATGATAGAAGGTTTAACATTGGAGCTTATCTTTTGGCATGTGCTTGCTTACGTCGTTTATCTAATCGACATTTTCCAAGCCTGAAGAGAACAGTGTAGATTATAGTTTCTTGCAAAGAACGCCACCTAACGACGACAGAAATAACTACATCATTAGGAAAAAAAGTAGCTACTTTTGTCTATCTAGCGTAAAGGACTTGCTAAACAAGCACTGAAGATTCTGTTACCTGTGTAATCGTATCAAAGGCAATACTGAAAATATTACACGTGAACTTCAACAATTAACTTATGCTCCGACGTACTTGGATAAATATGACGGCTCATGATTTTCCACAGCAAAATACAAAAATATGCGTTTGGACGGAGATGAAGATTTAATTAACAGTGAACGAAATTCAGGCTACCAACTTCGTTTATTTTTCTTCGTGTATGAAATAGTGTAATAAAAAGAAGGCAACTTTTTTTCTATAGAACTCTTTTCACTCTTCGCAACTTGCACGTTACTTTGTAATCCCTTAACGTTTATTTATTTATTAGATTACAATTTGTACTCCCCCTCTTCTAAATTAACTTACACTTAAGAAACCACCTTTCACTCTTATTTAATAATTTTTTTTAATGATATGTTGTTGAATATACGAGATGAGGCGCAACGGGTGACATATTTAGTATCTATTTATATTTAATTCATGGGAATTTCTGACTATTTGACGGTACAGTGAAGCTAAGGATAAAATTATAGCTGGGAAAATTTGTCATAGTCCTTTCTAGGGAAGGCTGTTGGTACAGTGAAACAGCAAAGAGATGCAAAAACCAGGGACCACCAGTTTCAAAGGTAAGTATCTGTGAAATAGTAGGTAAATACACTATACCATGTAAAGTAACCTAAAATAATGTTAAATCCACTCTTACGGAACAACAAATTTATACGGATACCAGATTCGACAGTTTCACGTGTCCTCTTCAAGTCTAACGTTTGTTTATGAGAGAAACACAAACATAGTGAATAGAAGTATAGGACTGCCTCTACCACTGTCGAAGTATGGAGACTGATAGTCCAGGACTCCTCCACCCCCCAACCTAGAAAGTGGTACCTAATAAGTTACACATACCCCATACATCGGTGACAGGATGAAACACAAGGCAAAAGCTATTCCCCAACACCGCCGAGAGAAAGAAAAATAGCAGAAACCCGTGTGAAAAATATCTAACACGCGAGAGGTGGAAGTTTGCTTTAACGAGGCCTAGGTTGTACTACAACGATTGCAACAACAGCAACAACAACAAAAAAAAAAACCGGCACCGACACCAAGTTGATAAAAACTTTCCAAGGTAGTAGAAAGATTATAAAGTTTTTTTTGTTGGGATTTATGATTGTCTCAGTTTCCTACATAATGGATAACCTTACAAAGTGAATATAAGAACAAGGCAAAACTGTAGTTATCATGAAAAGGTGTCAACAACACCAGTTATAAAACATGGAATTCTTACAATAAATAGACTGGATGCCAAGAAGGTTCAAGTCACGCGTCTAAGCCCACGGCAGTTTCTCTTCAAACCATAAAAATGAAGCCGTGGACTTTAGCATATTTAATTTGCGTAACGTGTTTTTGAAAGTGGACTTCTACGTATAGTAGAAAGTTAAAATGTGGAGTCTTAGATCAACTTCATCTTTGGTTTTTCAGAAACTTGTTGAAGTGAAAACTGTGGTGTCGGCAATCAGGTTGAGAACGATCGGAGATGGGGTAAGAAGTTTCAAAGACAGCACAGGCCTAGAACGTCTTTTATAAAGTGTGACTAACCCACTGTATACATATGATTAATATCTAAGTATTACAAATAAACATCCGAGCTGTTATATTACAAACTAGATACATTTTCGCAGAGTTCACGAAAGTGATCTGTTTCGAGAGTAAATAAAGCCAAAGTTAAGAGTAACAAATATTTTTATTTCTTGCGTTTGAATTCGTATATCATGCTGTGTTGTAGCCTACAGAGTGTATAATTATTTTCGTTATTCATGGCAAGCGCACGTTTTACTGACGTCACGACAGTATAAATTGCAACGTCAAGCGTCCCTTATATGATGTGATTTTACTGTCTACTGACTGACCGACAGGCAACACAGTACTGTATGGTGGTACGAGTGGTTAAAACAGGTGACCCCTCCAGGCAGCCGAATAAACACCCAAGCTGTTATATTGATGTATATACATACCTAATTACACATATATTTAACCTAAACAGTTGGGGTAGATACCTCCTCCACATCTTCGTTGGTTTTAGTAATGCCTGTTTACAACAAATACTGCTTTACACGTAGAAGCTAGACAACGTCTTCTTTGATCAACAAAGCAACAAAAGATAAGCAATAAACATTGGGTGGCAAAAATTCTCAACGTTTTTAGGACACTTTGTATTAGCTTCTTTAAAATAAACAAAAATTTCATTTACTTTTATTCTTAATTGACATTCCTAGAATATGGTATCTTTTTACTTCTATCACATCTCATTAGAATTAATATGAGTTTTACGCATCGATTTTTATAGAACGACCATTTTAAAACATTTTATATCACAGTTTAAGATATGAAAGCGTATCTTTAACTTAAATTTCTCTGTTGTTTTGATAGGAGAAACATGGTTATTCTTGCTAGTGATATTAGAAAATATTAACATACGTGAGAAATTGACGTTAAAGAATTGAGAAAAACAAAGATAATTGTAATATTCCACAAATGTTTCATTCATTACTACAGGTTATGGTCAGGTGCCTACAAGTTTCTTCGTTTTACTCGGCTCTGTAATTATGGAGTTTCATCAAGTAGCGAAGGTTTCATTTATTAATTATAGAAATGGACATCTTACAGATGCCTCCGGCGTCGTTAAAAGTATACTTCTTAAGACATAATTGAAGCAAAAGAAAAAATGTAACCAAAAAGAAAATGCAATCGAGCTGATAAAGAAACATCTTTAGCTACAAGTACGTATGTTTGTATTATCTGAAAGATTAACGCACCAATGAGTTTATGAAACTGTTAGGTTTGAAGGATCAGTTAACTAGGATCAGGATGATACAATTACGCGATAATTATAATTATACTACTGAGTTAATTAAACCAAAACAAATATGCGTAACTGCAATCATACCACTAAATTAATTAGTTGGTAGATACAGTTAGGCTACAAATTAATGAAGAGATTGTTGCAGCTAAACAACAACAGTTTCGTGATAATCATAGTTAAACTAGTAGATTCAAATGATAATCATAGTTAAACTAGTAGATTCAAGTGATAATCATAGTTAAACTAGTAGATTCAAGTGATAATCATAGTTAAACTAGTAGATTCAAGTGATAATCATAGTTAAACTAGTAGATTCAAGTGATAATCACAATTAATTTACAAATCGTATTTCAAACTTAAGAGTTAAACTAGAATAAAAAATGGAGATTTTCAGTTAGGGTATTACATTTACATGGACGTTACAGTTAACCTACAGCTTCAACATGATAGCACGCAGCATATGATAAGTATGATTAAGCAGTAACAGTTACGTGAAATTTATGTTTAAAGTTAAAGACTTGCGTGTTTGTTATCTTATATTTGCACAAATCTATTCAAGCACTAAATGTGCGAGTCGTTCTTAATTTAGAACTGATATACTAGAAGGAAAGTACCTAGTCAACAACTCTCACCATCAATTCTGGGGCTGCTGGTGTCTTGCCGAATATTGGGATTTTACACTCACTCTTGTAATGCACCCACGACCCCAAAAAATATTTCGCAGTAATAGGACCCAAAGATCCATAGTCCAGCACGCAAATCACTGGGTCACTTACGTGATTATAAAGTTAAATTCAATAACTGAGTGATCAAGCAGTTCAGATACTACACTTGTACATAATCAGCTGTTAAATTCAATACTGAAGTGATAAAGCAGTTCAGATACTACACTTACACATAATGAACTGTTAAATTCAATACTGAACGAATAAAGCAGTTCAGATACTACACTTGTACATAATGAACTGTTAAATTCAATACTGAAGTGATAAAGCAGTTCAGATACTACACTTACACATAATGAGCTGTTAAATTCAATACTGAAGTGATAAAGCAGTTCAGATACTACACTTACACATAATGAACTGTTAAATTCAATACTGAAGTGATAAAGCAGTTCAGATACTACACTTACACATAATGAACTGTTAAATTCAATACTGAAGTGATAAAGCAGTTCAGATACTACACTTACACATAATGAACTGTTAAATTCAATACTGAAGTGATAAAGCAGTTCAGATACTACACTTACACATAATCAGCTGTTGAAACACCACTCGGTCCATCAGGCCAGTGAAGGTAACATAAAATCCGGTCCCCATCTTTACCATAGTTGTAGGTGTGGGTGGTAGAATACAGTAATGTAGGGAGAGCTATCGACACGCTGCAAATCCAGATGGCTCCAATAAGTACTAAAACTTTACTCTTGGACATCCGTGGGGTCAAAGGTCGAACAATTGCAACACATCTATAAGAAAGAAAGAGACAAAAGTTTTAAAAAGACGAAACAAACCTAACTCATCGCTACATTATAAGTAGTTCGGGAGCTAGATAGTAATTCTATATAGTTTGTATGTTCATTGAAAGTTTTCGCACTAAGGTAAAAAAAAATATTTTTTTCATAATTATTAAATACTATATTTTACAAATGCTAAAATAAATCCCACTGTTTCGTTAAAATGCATACCAACATGTAAGCTTTCAGCGTGAGTGAGAAAACCGCTTTAATATAATTCAAACATGCATATGTCGGTGATGAATCGTTTATGTCAATACTGATATAGTCAAAACGCTATTTTTCTTGTACCAGCAAAAATAAATAGAACGTCATATACAATAGATGAAATAAAACTGTACTTAAACAGAAACAGTTGGTATGAAGATTCTGATTTATATGGTGAAAATCAATCTATATGCAAATTCATCACAAAAGATGTGATCCGACTGAAGTATTTCTTGTAATCTGTGGTGTTTTTTTAATGCCTTACACGTGTAGTGGTATTTGTTCTCCACATACAATTCATTTGTCACTTGTCGTGAACGCCTGTTCATACACTATCGATGGTAGAGAACAAGTTTTGGCATTACAAGATGTTTCAAGAACACTGACGTCATAGGAAAGCTAAAATTGGCGTTAATCGTGGATATACACATTTGTTGGGTAATTAACTTGGAATCTAGAATTGTTTATATTTATCTATATCTTCGTTTTTTAGCATGCGGAACATTCAAAATTTTGTTTTTTGATTATTCTTTAAGCTATCAACATGAAGGTTCATGATCCGTGGCCCATTGTCGTACAATTGCGATCCTCGTTTTGAAACCGTAGATGTACAGGTCCAATCCCAAAAGTTGGCTGTGGGTGCTGTTAACTAGAAACTCTTTTATTTTCTAGTTTGTCAGTTGAAAATTAGGGACGACTAGTGTAGATAATACTAATGTAACCTTGCGCGAATTCGAAACAAAATAGCAAATTATAAGATAATAACTGTTATTCTACGGTTTATGGTGTCTATAAATACGGTTTGATAAAAAAACAAATCACGAGTCCGACTTAGCGTTTCAAGAAGAATAGAATAATCCTGTAGAATTTGATGGTTAAAACGGTTAACAAAATATGTTTAACTTGCTAGAGATAGTTAAAAAAAGTATCTTGATTCAATAGAATTCCACTTTCATAATTGAATTTTAATAATAACTATAATTCTCATATTTCGTAAGTTATGAGATCTAATTTCTTGAACTCTTTGAAATGTGAAACCTCTCTCTCTCTTTATTGTTTTATCCGTAGGACAGTATCAAAGAAAATTCATTTAATTGTATCGAAAACACATTTAAGCTCAATTAAGACAAATCGATTGAATTTCATTAAAAGTGTGTACACAAACAAATATAACATTAGTTATTTCCATCAACAAAAATTTATTAGGAGTCACAAATATTTACATAGAAAGCTAAGGTAGATTTTCTTTACTGAGTAGAAGTTCTATTTGGAGTCCAGTAGTGTTCATAAAGAAATCTGATGATTTTTTGTCACTGAGAAGTGGAAGTTCTGTCTGGAATCAAATAATGTTGATGTACAAACCTGATGTATGTCCTTTTCATTGAGAATTAGAGGCCTTGTTTGCAATTCAGTAATGTTAATATAGAAAATGGCACTAGTTCTTTTCATTGAGAAGTAGAGGCCTTGTTTGCAATTCAGTAATGTTAATATAGAAAATGGCACTAGTTCGTTTCATTGAGAAGTAGAGGCCTTGTTTGCAATTCAGTAATGTTAATATAAAAAATGGCACTAGTTCTTTTCATTGAGAAATAGAAACCCTGTGGGGAATCCAGTAATGTTAATGTTGAAAGCTTAGAGGCTCTGTCTGAAACCTAGTAATGTTTATCTACCAAGGTTTGGTAGGTATTTTATTAAAGAGTCCGTAATGTTTATATACAAAGTTTGGGTAGGTTCTTTTTCTTAAGGGCTCTGTCTGGACTCCAGCATATTTTTTTACATAGCTTATGTAGGCTCTTTTTATTGTGAAATAAATGTCATCCATTAATGTTCGTGTATAAGGTAGGGTTTCTACCTGAATTCCAATAATGTTCTTGTATAAGTATGAGGTAAGTTTTCCTTACTGAGTAGGGGTTCCACGCAAACTCCAATAACGTTCAAGTATAAATATGGGGTAGGTTGTCTTTATTGTATAGGAGCTCTACATGAATTCTAGTAAAGTTCCTGGATAAAAATAAAATATACTTTATTTAAAGTGTCTCATTAAAAATGCGCTTTAGAAACTTGGGGAAAAATATTCAAACACATTTTTTTCGTATGCGCAAGACTCTTTCTTCCACATTTATTTACATTCTTTTGAAAACGTTTGAGATTTAAGATGACAAAAATGAAAAACGATTTATAGTTGCGATTTGGCTGAAGTGTATTACGAAACTTTCTAAAGATGTGACGTCAATTTTGACAAGATTTCGTGGAATACCAATCAACTTAAATCTGACAGTTATTCTCGCTCTTTTTTTTTGCAATATGAATGTCTACGTCCTGTTATCGTCGTAAATATTTAAGAGAATCGATGTCTTCCTCAACAAACAGCAAAAAATAAACTTTGTTGGTTCTCAGGGGAAGTTACTTTATAATTTCTGTTAATGAAATGTTCACGAAGAATGATCCAAATTTTCCCATATGCAACGATAAATAAAAGAGAATTTAAAACTATTACAAAGTAAATTATGGGGCTAAATGTACATCTCGATTTCTGGTCAAAGGAATTCACCCATTCCGTTAAGTTCCACAGCTTTACAATTGGATCATTCGGAAGATGAAAATTTCTTCTCAGTTCGTTTCAGTATGAAAAACCACTCACTGATAATTGAATAAATAATCACTATTAATAACCAATATAAGCTTCGAATTTAATATAACCATTAGGTTTAAAAAGCACGTAATATTGAACCTATCTGATTCCCAGTCTATTTTAGTTGTAAAAATAAAGCAATATTCTGATGATTTTTTTTATTAAAGAAAAGGTGGAATGAGTTTACTATGGACATTTCCCGCTGTTTTCAGTTGCATGCTAATTCCTTCGTCAGATATATATCGTGTGAAAGGAGAGATAATAAGACAGCAGGTCAGCCCTAACGTTGAGCTTTTCAGCTGTGATTAATTTGATTGTTCTTTGGAAAAGTTGATGAATACTATTTTTTGTTTAGTTTTTTTGGAGAATGTGGTTTCAGCTATGACTAGTTTCTAAGCCTTGGTCTTGGTTAACGTTTGGTTTATTGATCTTTACTATGAGAGCTTTTTGAATCGCAGAGACGGTTTCACTAGACTTGAAAAACAACTAGATGTTGTAGCGGTCGTATTCTGACAACAGGTAGTCTTAGATTATGTTTATTGCTGCAATCAGAATAACAGAATTTGACTATATATATATGTATACGCTGTATATTATGGCAAGGCTTATTCTCTCGGCTCACTCAGTAACAAAACATTTAACTCTTAAGTATATTTATAGAATAAAATAAGCCAAATTAACCTTCACATTATCGACTGGATAGTCCATGATTTTATATTTTTTCTTGTTAAAATACTCAGTGTACAGAAACAACCAAAAACTGATAAAATATCTTATTTTTTAAATAAAATGCACATGAAACCCCAGAAGGAATTAATGGGAATAATTGCAATATTTTTGTTGTATTAGTGACTCTTGTAATCAACAACAATGTAGACTCGCAATGAGTTTGATGCATAAGTTTGTTTGTTTGTTTTTGAATTTCGCGCAAAGCTACACGAGGGCTATCTGCGCTAGCCGTCCCTAATTTAGCAGTGTAAGACTAGAAGTCATCACCACCCACCGCCAACTATTGAGCTACTCTTTTACCACGAATAGTGGGATTGACCGTCATTTTATAACGCCCCCACGGCTGAAAGGGCGAGCATGTTTGGTGTGACGAGGATTCGAACCCGCGACCCTCAGATTATGAGTTGAGTGCCTTAACCACATGACTATGCCGGGCCAGATGCATAAGTAGTCTAGAAAAACGTTGTGTTTGGAAAACCATTAGAGCTTGGACTCATCGATAATTCTAATAAATTAAGTGCGGAATACCTGGCACATGTAAAGAACTGTGTACGAACCTTTAGCTGAGAGAAAAATATGGGTGATTTTGAATTTAATATCAGAAGCGGATATCAACATATAACTTTGGTTACGTTTTGATATTTTCATAATTTTTTGACTAAAAATGGGGGTATAACAGACAACAAATATGAAACATTTTATTTCTATATTAGATCAAACTTCACACAATAAAAACTGAGCAGGTAGGAATACTCAGCATTATTTCGAGTAAAAATAAAATTTTATTTTATTTGAATTTATTCAAATCTGATGATCATGACCGTCATTATTTCCTGATTCCGCAAATTTAGTTGTAACAAGATTGTTGAAGACATTTTGGATCAAATTCCTAGAAAACTTTTTGCAGACTCTCCTTTCTGCATAAACGTCAGCTTCTAAGATTGCGTTGCATAGAAAAAGGCACAGAAATTCATTGGAGCTACATATGGGGTAGGATAGGTAAGTGGTAAAAGGAAATCGCTGCAATTTCAGTTTCTTCGTCCATCTTTTACATGAAAGTTTGCATCAAATTATTGTTTATCTTATCAAATATACCATCAGATGTGCCAATCTTCATTACAGTCAATAATTGAGTTTGATTGTTGTCTTTCATAAACCTAACCTACATTTTGTAAGGGATTGCTTTGTTTCATGTTGGCTTGGAGTGTGGTTTCTATACGATCTATCATGTAAGTATCTCTGCTTTAAAGAATAATAATAATAAGGGCTTACTTCTTTGGAATGGTTTCGCTTTTGGCATTACCTTATTCAAAATATCCTTTTGTGCTATAAGCATGTCGTTTTCAGCATTGCATTGTCAAATGGTCGAAAATTTGTCGTGAAT